TATATATATATATATATATATATATATATATATATATATATATATATATATATATATATATATATATATATATATATATATATAACAACCTAGAGTATTTTTTACAGTGTTTTTATAGCTGAAATAAATGTTTATTAAATAAGATCTGTTGTTCCAACTAGATCCCTTTAACTGCATGGATCATTGTTTGTGTTAGTGAAGCTCATCAGGATCTTCTAACCTCATGTCATCTTTGGTTCTTTGAGCACAGGGCTGCACCCGCGGGCCCCACAGTGATGTGAAGCCCCCGGAGCCTCTGAGGCCCGAGGTGTTGTCGGATAAAGGCGACGCTAAACACACCGACAGCCAGGAGATCATCTACCAGGGACCCAAATCTGCTGAGGTGCTGCAGAGAGAGAGACCCAGGTGTGTGTGTGTGTGTGTGTGTGTGTGTGTTAGCTGGGACTTGTCACTATGCTCCCATGTTCCTGTTAGTCTGAGTCGGACAGCTGCCACTGTGTAGGAATCTATTCAAAGGTCAGAGGTCAGAGTGAGGCCAGCTGCAGCTGCTACCATAAATAATGCAGCTCGGATCACTCTGCAGGTTGACTGTGTTAACACAGGTGTGTGTGTGTGTGTGTGTGTGTGTGTGCAGGTCAGACGAGCCCATGACCAAGCTGCCCCACAAAGTGTCGGCGTCGCTGCTTCAGGCGCTGGAAAAACTGGGCATCAGCCAGACGACAGAGAGCGAGCAGAAAGGTCAGCACCTACGGTCCTTGAACGCATCTCTGGTCTCTTCACTGCAAAATAAAGTATTTTATTTATTTATTTATTTTCTTTATTACAACTGAGCAAAATGTTTTCTTAAGAAATCCACATTCCTGCAGTTATACAGACAGTCCTGTTGAATCTGTGGCTTTTTCTTGAAACGAACGAGCCCAATGTTGAATATCATTAAAAATAAGAACGTTTACACAAAACTCGTTTGTCATTTAAATCTGAGTTTATTCTACTTTTTCTTTATTTTAAAACCAGTCTTATGAAAGTAAGAAAACAAAATAAAAAAGTTGAAAGAATATTTTAAAAATAGCAAAAATACAGTGAATAGCATAAACTGTTCTTTAAATGTAACTTTTATTTATTTAGAAAAGTATTATGTAACGAGCAGGACTTGTTTATATCTTGTATATAATTCATGTTTGTCTGATAAAAACACCCAGAAAACGTATAATAAGTGTTGTTTTTTTTGAGTTTAGAAGTCGTCGGTAAGACGTGAAACTTCCTTCACATTGTTCATAGATGCTCAGACCCTGTGAAGAAGAAAACTTCCAGCTCAGTAAAACCTGCTGAACTTCTCTTTGTCTCCTCCAGAGGCTCAGAGCGTCATGTATGGGACGCGCTGCAAAAACACCGGCTGTAAAACGGTAAGTGTGTCTTCATGGAGGGTTTTATTTGTGCCGAGTCCTCGGGACGTCTGATCCACAGCAGCACAAGCAACAGATTCATTATCTATCCACAAGCTGAAACAGTTTTTCTGCTGTGTCTGGAGGAAGCTGCAGAGCTACGGTTTTTAAAGGTGCAATGTGAAGTGGAAAAAAGATGTGAACAAACAATATCTTACCTGTTCTAGATGGCTCTTTGAATGACCTCAGTTTGGAGAGGTGGTTGAATTCTGACCCGTCTAATGAGCCAGAATAAAATATGAATAAAATCAAATCAACATGTTGCAGATTTAAAACCACTTTAACGTCGAAAACTTTACACCTGTTCATGCAAATTATGTTTTTTATCACATCAAGTGAACATTTAGTACTAAAACGTTGCTCCACATGCATGCAGGCTGCAGAAGGAAACGCTCCACGGCTGACGGCAGCGACTGCCGTCAGTTTATCTGCAGGTGCATCATGCACCTGCAGCCCGCTCGTGTTTCTGGGTCAGTACGAAAAACTATTTAAAAACAATCAATTCTATCACAGGCAGAGCGAAAACTACATGAAGAGAAAATATATTTTTAAATAACGAAAAAGTAATTAGAAAAAAACCCTCCATGTTCATATTGGACTCTTTTGGCTTAGCTCAGCAGGTGAGCGGCCCCACCCAGGAACATGGTCACACGCTGGACCTCGTTTTAACACGCGATGTCTCTGTTTCTAATTTGAAAATCGGTGACAATGTTGATGTTTTTTCAGATCACATGCCTGTATTGTTTGACTTCACCCCCCCCCTTGTCATACTGCTAAGACGTGCGTTCCTGCACGTACGCGTTCCTTTAACCATTTCACTGCTGCTCGTTTTAATGAAGATTTTAATTCTGAAAGGATCGAACAGCTCTCGGTGTCTCTTACCACTGAGGAGCTAACCTCTCAGTTCAACTCTGCCTGTTTAAATGTTCTGGACCGTGTTGCTCCCCTTAAGTTTACAGCACTTTGGTTGGCCTTGTTGCTGTTTTAAGTGCTATATAAATAAATTGGCATGGTATGGTAAAGACCAGGAGCCACGAGTAAATATGACCAAAAATAAGACTTTGTTTTCAGCTGCTGAACCGGAAGGGTCCAGTGGTCTGGAGGGTCTTCACCACACTCCAGACTGGAATTTAAAAAAGAATAATAATTTTGATCATACTAATAGGGGACAATGCTTTATTAGTATTATTATTATTTTAAGATGAGCCCACCATGGTCTTTGTCTCACTCAGACGAGCCATTAGCTCAAGTCAGAAAATTGATTTCTCCAAACTACAGCTGTTCAAAGAGCTATCCGCAACAGGTAAGACGCTGATTGTTCATAGTCTTGCCACCGAACCTTACTTGAATAGATTAGAAATCGTATTTTATTGTTCAGTTTGACCTTCCAGACAGATTTGACCTCGTTGCTCGGGTCTTGTCCGACTCTGTAAAGGCTTCTTGTTTGTCAGACTGCAGCGACAGTCCAGTGACTTTAATTCATCTTTTAAATTAAAATGCACTTCATCGAGTGATAAATTAGTTTAATTACCACAATAACATGTAAATAAAAATGTCTTTAAAAAGCCTTGGATTGTGTAAGTCCCTCAAACAACCCTTTGTCCTTATAAATGTCCCTGTAGTCCCAGTTCATACTGGTCCCCACAAACCCAGCTGGACATTATGTCCACTGTCTTTCTGCTTGACTTCAGCTCCTCTGCTTCTGTCTCTTTTTCAACACTGCCATCTAGTGGACCATTCTGGTAAAATTCACACAAACTACTTTTATATATTTTTTTCTTTTTTCATCTGCTTGATTTAAAATCTTGTCTTAAATAAAACACGTGATCAGCCTGTGAAACAGAGCGCACTGGTTCAAATGAGGTCACGTTCATACCGTCCAATAAGAAAAGGCTGCTGGTGTTTGAATAAAAAGGTGATATTTCTCTTAAAGAGGTGGTTTTTTTGCTGAGTAATGAGATTTAAAACAGAACAAGCAGCTGCTGAACCGACGCGCCACTTTTATCACTCCACAATGTTCAAATTGAATGTGTTTCTATAGCAGATTAAAATATTAAATCTCATCCATTTTCTTCATAATCTCAGCTTCATGAGCAACAATTAAGACTTTACCCAGTTTACTGGGGACCAGTGATCTCCTCGTGTGACTCAAGTGGTCCTCGTTAATCATTTGCATCTTATTCATGTGTTCAGATCTATCAAGGCCCCGACACAGACTTGGAGGTCTGCACCCACCACCCCGGGGCCGCGGTCTTCCACGAGGGGTAAGAGGAACGAACTGACGCCAGCATCTTCCTTCTTGTTCATCCAAGACGTCACAAACAGACGATGCTTGCTTAAAACATCCCACAAAGTTCAGTCAGGTCATCCGGACGGTTTCATCAGTTTGGCATGGCTGCCTTAGAGGAGTTGACGGGGGAGAGGGCGGGCCCCGGAGGCCATCTTATCACCAGCAAACTGTTTTTTTCCACTCTGGGTGTGAGCTGTTTGTGGGATTCAGTTTGGTTTGGTGGCTCCTCAGACTGAAGAAGTCCTTTGGATGAAGGACGAAACATTTCAGCAACAAAATAAACCGTCCGTCCAGATGACCTGACTGAACATTGTTGGATTTTTGTACCTGGATTAATGAACCTTGGTGTTAAAACGTCAAACTTACAGTTTTAATCTGCACCACTCGGGTTTCAAACAATAATATTTGGATGGATTAGGCAAGAGAAAAATGAAAACTCAACTAACGGTGAGAGCAGATTAACAAAACGACAGCTGAAGATGGAGACCAGTAATTAGAACGAATCAACCAAACTACAAACAGAAATTGAAAGTTTAAGAGGAATGCTCCACATCTTCACATCTCTTTATTCTCACTGTTAGCATCTGATCAGGCACAGCTGCATGGCTGTGTTTGGTGTTTCTCCAGCTGCTAACAGCTGGGCTCATTTCTTTGTTCAGGTACAAGTACTGGAGCTGCTGCTGCATAAAGACAACAGACTTCAATGCTTTCCTGGACCAGAAGGGCTGCGCCACAGAGAAACACACCTGGGTAGCAAAGCAGGTAGGTACTGGTAGATCTTAATGGACTGGTGTGGACTGGTGTTAGTGGTAGGAAAGAACAAACAGCCAGATAGTGAAAGGAGGAAAGGTGACTGGTTTAATCTCAGAGGGCTCAAAGCTGTGTACTGGTGTTGGATGTATTTACAGGACAAGAAGAAAGTGGCGTGTCGGTATGACTGGCACCAAACTGGAAACACTGTCGTGGTAACGATTTATGCCAAGAACTCAATCCCTGATTTGTGCAACATAGAAGCCAACCGGACAGTGGTGAGTAATGTGACGCGCTACATGAACACATGTCCAAAACAATGTTGTTATTCAACTGGCGGCCCGCGGGACACTGGCGGCCCCTGGGTGAGCTCAGTCTGGTCCACAAATGTGTTTAGTTAAAAATAAAACTACATTTTTAAACAGTAAATTACATTTACTGTAATTTCCAGACTATAAGTTGCTCATTTTTTCACACGCTTTGAACATCACAGCTTATACAATGCTGCAGATAATTTATGGATTTAATTTTTTTTTTAAATTTGTCGGGCTAACGAGCTTCATGTAGCCAAACATTTAGTCTCGTCACACCCGGACACTCACATATGCCACATTTGCTCCTACTCAGCCCCAACTCTGCTCAGATCAGCCTGGACATCCTTCAGGACCGGTTCTGGAGACGAGTCCAGAATCCAAAATCCTGCTAATGAACTTTTAATGAACTTTAGTTCACCGTTAAGAGTGAAAGTTCTGCGATGAGTTCACTCAAAGCAGTCTGCTCCTCAGATAAATAAAGTTAAATTATTATTTTTAAATATGAATGTTTCTGTTCAGTGCCCTGAGACGACTTCTGTTGTGACTTGGTGCTATAGAAATAAACTCAATTAAATCTGATGAACCAGATCCTACAAAAACATTTATATTTAAAATTCTTTATTTTTCTTCATCATTTGAAGTATTTGCACTCACTGAGGTTTTGTTTCTTGTATACAGATTTTATTTGAGTGATTTAAAGTGTAATGCTTGTTTTGTGATTTGTACATCTGTGGGTTCGAATAAAGTTGAACCCAAGGCTGCGTCTCTTCTTTAAACATGTTTGAGAGAAATATTCCTGAGAGATCCAATAATTTAGTCTTTTTATGATATTTCAGCTGAGTTAACTTTAATTAACAGATTATTTAATAAAGTCAAAGTGAAAACAGGATTTCATGATCAAGCCGGCACCGTTTATTTTTTATGCTTCACTGATTAAAAAAAAACATTATTTTTTATACATAAAATGTTTTTAAAAAAATGTTTCCACCCTCCGTCCCGTGACCCTAGAAAACATATATTTTTTTGTTTGTTTATTTTATCGATGAGTGTGCTCATTGATCCTGACTCCCTCATTTTGATTTTAAAAAATTAGCATAAATTGTTTTATTCATTTTAGTTTTGTAGGTCAAAGTGTTTTATAAAACACTCCTGAGTTATAATGTTGCTAATCAATTATTATTTTATTTTTTTCATTTAGCCTTTATTTATCCAGGTTAGTCTCATTGAGCCACGGTAACTCTTTTTAAAGAGAGACCTGTTTAGGGAGCAGATGGTGGGGGTTAAGGGCCTTGCTCATGGGCCCAGGGTGGGGTGAATGAGGGTGGGGGTGGGCAGGGGTGCTTCGCCTACCCCACCCACATTTTTGATGTCTGTGCCGGCGCTTGAACCGGTGATCTTCCAATCACAGGCCCACCTTCTCTAGCCTCTGCGCCACCACTCCCCCTATCAATCCCCCTATGATCAATTTGAATTTATTATTATTTATTGATTATATTTCATTTTATTTTTCAGTATCAAATGGTAAAAATGATTTTTTTTTCCATGCAAATTGATGCACTGAGTAAAAACAAACAAACAATGTTAATAAAGTTGTTCTTGTAAGTTGATCTATATATTTTTTTCTTCCTTTAATCTTAATAAGGACACAATGTTAGGCAGAGGTGTACTTATAACACTTTTAAAGACGTATTATTTACAGTTGTGGTGGAGAGTTGGTGGGGGGGACACAAAATGTTTACTTCTTTCTGGTGGGGGCATAACAGAAAATAATTGAGAAGCACTGGTTTAATAAGAGTACGCCTTGTAAAATTTGTGATGGTTTAGTTTGATAAGGGACTGTAAGCTACTGTTATAACTGAAGCCCAACAAATCAAACATTTCACCAGTCTTATCTCCTTATCTTACTGGTCTACAAAGCAAAACCTCTGTTACCATAAAACAAAACGGTTGGCTTATGATCAGACCCCAGTATTATACATCTTTAGAAAAAAAAAATGCACAGAAGTTAATATTTTAACTTGATAACCGGCGGTAACGTTAGGCTAATGTCTGGTTAATGTTACTACTGGTAGTATTAACATTAGCCCCAGAAATCTAGCTAAAACCAACAATGTCCACAAGTTGCTTCATAATCAACAACCTTTTTTAAGAAAGGTGAAAGTTTTACTCACTTATATAATGAATTAAAACTTTATGGCCTAGGTCTCCGGTCCGGATGTGTCATGCGGACCTGAACCTATAAGGGGCCGTTTCCACAGCACCTTTCTCTCTGCAGTTCGTCTGTTCATTGATGGCTCCGTCACCCTCAACAGTCTTTGGTCTTTCTCCTCCACAGCTCTCGTGTCAAATACAGTTTGAAAGCAACAAGATTTTCAAGAGAGAATTCCACCTCTGGGGGGTGAGTAGGTCCAAAAAAGCTTGTCATGTGTTTTCTTTATGGTGCCACTTATTCTTGAGAGGGTTTATGATCCTGATCATTTCACAGCGTTGACATGACTGTGTTAGGGCTAACTGAATTAAAGAGAGTTGTGTCAGTGCCTGTAAAAATATTCACCCCCTTAGATCATCCATCCATCCATCCATCCATCCATCCATCCATCCATCCATCCATCCATCCATCCATCCATCCATCCATCCATCCATCCATCCATCCATCCATCCACTTGTTTTGAAGTTGGCTCACAGTTTGAGCAGGGAGGACCAGACATCTCTTTCCACAGCACCTCTTCCAGCTCTTCTGGGAGGATTCCAAGGTGTTCCCAAGCCAGCTAAGAAATGTAGTCTCTCCAGTATGTCCTGGGTCTTCCCCGGGATCTCCTCCCAGTCGAACATGCCCGAAGCACCTCCCTAGGAGGCACCCAGGAAAATCTTTACCAGATGCCCGAACCACCTCAACTGTCTCCTCTCAACGTGGAGGAGCAGTGGTTCTACTCCAAGTCTCTCCTGATAACTGAACTTCTCACCCTACCTCTAAGGGAGAGAGTCCAGCTACCCTGCGGAGGAAACTCGTTCTATGCACAGTCTCTTCCATATCACCTGCTGAAGCTTTTACTCCCTTCAGAGAGGTCACAAGTGTCTTGGTGGTTTATCTCACTGCTCTTCTTCTTGCATGGTCACTCAAGGACCCTGCAGACTCTGTCTGAAGCAGCATTATCGGCTCTCATTCACGTATTTTCATGACAAAAATCACATCATTTTGTTCTCACAGCAGCTTCGCCTGATCTTTCTCAACACAAGGCCCGGGCCAAACGTTTTGCCACAGGCGTATGCACCAAGGATTGTGTGATTTGTCAGAAGTTTGTGGGCCTGTTTGTCAATGTGTTCAGACTGTACGACTCTTCAAACACTAAATTAGTCAAACAGCCACAAACTCCTGGATGGAGATCGTGCACACATCGTGTTTGGAGGAGTCTGTCTGCTGGACAGTCTCTTCGTGATAGCTTTGTGGCCAAATGGCGGATGCAGGAACAGACTGGAGACTCTGGCAGGAAGAAACCTGTGCTGTGTTGCATAATGCAGCGACAGGCGTTTCCCATGAGCTTTGCACCCGTCTCGTCGATTATGAAAAGTGTGTGCGAAAATGAACGTCCCGCCAACTCGTGTCGACCGTTCGACTTCGGATGGAGTATGCTGGACCCTTTAGTCTGTGAGGACAGCTGGCTCTTGGTAGATTTACACGTTCCATGTTCCTTCCACTTCTTGATGGTGGATTTAACAGAACTTCTGGGGATGTTTAGAGCCTTGGAAAAACTTGTGTGTTCCCTAATTTTTAATTTTCAATCTTTTGTTTCTTGCTGTATTAGGACAGTCACTTTAAAGGGGGTTAAAATTTATGCAATCACTTATTTTACTTTACTTTTTTAAACTGGCAGGATTTTCTAGAAATATTTCATTTTGCCATTGAAAAGCTTTTTTTTTTAAATTAGTTTTGTCAGAAATGTTAATTTATATTAATCATGACTGATTTATAATGGAAAAAAGGGTAAACGCTTGAAACCAGATTTTCTTTGTTCAACCCAACTCTCAGGTCATCAACATCAAACAGAGCTCCATCAACATGGTTCCATCTAAAGTGGAGATCATGCTTCGCAAGGGTGACCCAGTAGCCTGGGGCAAACTGGAGGACCCCAACTACAAGCCTGAACCAGGACCCATAGAGGACGACTTATTTGAAACCCCAGAGTCCTACCAGCCCGACTTGGACATTGATGACGATGACATCAGCGACTCGGACGAAGAGTGGGCCAACGACACGCAGCAGAATAAAACGGAGAACGGTAGTGATGAGCAGAAGAAGAAAGAGCAGGAGCAAGAGATGCTAAATTTAAAGAGGAAAGAGGTGGAGGAGGAGATGAAGAGATTGATGGAGGAGCAAAACAGGATGGATGAAGAGAGGAGGAAACTACAAGAGCAGAGGAGAGAAGAGGATCAGGGAGGATTTGAGGACATGCCAGATTTAGAAGATGGAGAAGCTGATTTTGACGGATAAATAAAAGGATTAGTTTAATTTTGTAGCATAGGAAGTTTCATAATTTGGAAAATTTAAATGCTAATCAGTTTTTTTTTACAACAAATCAAAAGAAGTGATCCTCTGTGATTTCTTTCATTAGAACATCTTTTTCAAGAACGACAAACTGCAGTATTTTATCACACAACTTCAACAATAAACTCCTCTGTTTCTGTGACTTGGTTCAGTTTTTCACAACTCGCAGCTAAAACGAACAGCCATGAAACTTTGAGCGCAGTGACCCCATGTCCACTTCTGTAAACACCTCAGCTCTTTACTTTGAGTCACGGTTTAAGTGTTTAGGCCTGTAGCACATTGAAATACAGCCTACAGTTTTACAGAACACACAATATGTAGGACAAAAAGCGTGGTTTGCACAGTTCACATACTGTTTTTTTTTTTAAAAAAAAGGTAGTTTAACTACAGGAATTTAGACGTGTATTAAAGCAATCCTTGAGATCAGGGTTGTGTAGAAAGGTTGTGAGCAAATACATGTAGATATCTGTGAAGATTCTCAGTTTGGAGCAGTTGTTTAAATCTGACCAGAATGCCGAGTTAACTTTTATCTTGAGTCTCAAAAATACCGTTTCATAAAATGTATCTGTAGTCTTGATGGCCTAAACTGGAAACACTTCTGGCAGGAATAATATATTTGTTTGAAATACTGTAGCAATTACATGAACCACTTCATGGTGGTTCTGCCTGTCTTCAGAGATGGGTTGGAAGTGCTTGGTGTGACATCTGGACAGAGAATGGATAAGGAAACCTGGTGGTGGAATAGTGAAGTGCAGGAAGCTGTTCAAAAAAAGAGGTTAGCCAAGAAGAAATATGACTGAAGAGAGGAGACAGGAATATACAGAAGTGTAATGTACTGCAAAGAAGGTGGTAAGGCAAAGCAGAAGGTGGATGATGATGATGAGTTGTATGAGAGGCTGGACACTAAAGAGGGCGAGAAGGACTTGTACCGATTGATGAGACGGAGGGATCAGGCTGGAAAGTATGTGCAGCAGGTTAGGCTTGTTAAAGATAGAGATGGTAAAGTTCTAACAAATGAGGAGAGTGTGACAGGAAGATGGAAGGAGTACTTTGAGGAGCTAATGAATGAAGTGAATGAAAGAGAAAGAAGAGTAGAGGTCAGAAACTGTGGATCAGGAAGTGCTTTGGTCAATGATGGTGAATAAGTGTTGAGTCAAAAGGCAAAGCTCTCGTTTCATCCCTCGACAAAAGAACAAGATCTCTGATACAAGCAGCTGAAATGAGCTTCCTTTGTTGGCTGTCTGGATCATTCTTAAGAGATGGGGTGAGGAGCTCCATCACCCCAGGGGAGCTTGGAATAGAGCTGCTGCTTCTCCACATCGGAGTCGGTTGAGGTGGTTCAGGAATCATCCTCCTGGACACTTGCCTTTAGAGGTTTTTCTGGGCACGTCCCACTGGGAAGACCTAGAACTCAAAGGAGGATAATATTTCCTCTTTGGCCTGGGAACACCTCGGGGTCTTCCCAAAGGAGCTTGAGTGTCCCTGGGGAGTGGGATGTCTGGGTTTTCCACTTGGACCTGTAGCCTCCACAACCTGACTACGAATAGGCGGTAGAAGACGGAGTAGTAGTTCAAAGAGCTACTTACAACAGGTAAGATGTCAATAGGTTAAAACCTTAAAAATCATCTCATCAACATAAGACAAATGGACAACTTTCACACTTGAATAATTCGTTTAATCCCCAGAGGGTTCCACTGACTGTCTTTGTTACACACTGCACATGATAATACAAGAAAACACCTCGCACTGGACAAGGTCGTGCAACATCTAGTCTGGTTGCCAGCGTTGTGCACAGTCTCAGTTTATTGGCTGGGGGGTGCGCTCACAGTTTTGTGTTTAAATACTGTTGCACAAACCTGGTTTAAGTGTTTGTGATCTGTAAACTCGTTAAAAGTTCCTCTGCTGACTTCTCAGCTCCAGATAAGAGCTAGGAAGAGTTTCATTCCGGTAACAAACTAAAATAAAATAAACTTAAATAAAGACCACTTCAAAAAAGGAAGAAAAAAAAAATACAAAAATAAATAACAGGCAACTCGTTATTCCAAAATGGCTTTTATGTATGTGCTCCCAGACACTGGTATTTTTCAGTTCAACATGCAATAATCAAACTGAAAGTGATCAAACGTTTTACACAAAGATTGGCTTAACATCACTACGGTGTAAACTATTCATTGTAAATCATAAATAACACTGAAGATTTGCAATATGTTCATTTTAAATCAAACAAAATGAAAAATGTTCAAACATCTCAGCTCTGATTGGTACAGTGACATCTACATGATGCTGCAGTGACGGTGAAATAACCTTCACATTTCATTTAAAACCACGAGTAGTAAACATCTGTTTTTACAGCTCTATACAATGATATATTTTTTTACGATTGGTTAGATATTACATTTTATCACCACACTTTTATCCATATATATATATATATATATATATATATATATATATATATATATAAATTTGTCATAAATAAAATATTTTTATCAGTTCAATTAAAAAAATGCTCAAACACTCAAAATCTTAACATACATATGCAAACGTCTTTACCCCGGTAATTTTGCTTTATCGTAAAGTGCAAGGCAAGATACAGTAAACGTTGAAATGTACGACACACGACTTTTGCATCTGAAGTGCGCACACACACTCGCACACCTTTAAGGTGTCAAGTCCTAATGGACTTGGCAGAACACTAAAGCCTCGGAGGAGCAGAGCTGGCACACTGTGGGCACAGAAGCTAAACCACAGCTGAACGTCACGGCGCCTCACAGTGACGACAGCCCACCACCGGGTTCAGCTTCAACCATGAAAACAAAAGAAATCACAGAAGTTAAGAACCACTTGTTTGAACGTGAATAGAATAAGCTTCAAGTCTTTTTGTAGACGAAGATTTTAAGCTAAATCCTAAAAATACAAACTTATAAGTTAACCTTGATTAAGTATAGGTTTTTGTCTTTTGCATTTTTAAGTGTTTTAAAAGGATAAAAGATACATGAAAAAACTAAAAGCATGTTAATTTTGTGTGCAACACTTTAAGCTAATATTAGCTAGTATGCTTTAGCTAGTTTGTTACTCAGCTTTAATCTTAAAAGTATTTATCCCTCAAAATCCCATTATTTACTGTCACTTTTAAAAAATTTTCATACCTGCAAACTCACAAGGGATGAACAAGGTGACAAACCTAGCGCCTGTATGGCACTTACGCATTGCTAAGCTAGCACTATGCAAGTACACTAGCTTAGCGCTCACGAGCTAGCGCAAGCTTTGTGGCGAGTGTCACTACACCATCTTTTCTGGAAGCACGATCCGTACTATCAGTTCATTTGCGCATGCGCTAAAAAAAAAAAACTTCCGGGAGAGCTTTAGACATTCAACAACGATCCAGAAGTATTTCTTTTAGCGCATGCGCAAATGAACTGACTGTATGGATCGTGTTTCCGGAAAAGATCATTAGAAGTAATTATTTAAAGTACTTTCATAAATCTAGCATCTTCAACAAAGATCAGCTGCGATTCGGAAGCATTTCCTTTAGTGCATGCGCAAATGAGCTGGGACCGCGCTTCTGGAACAGATCTGGTATGTTTCATAAATATATTTTATTAATATCAAAATTTATATAATATATGTGTTGCATTAAATCAGCTTACAGGGTATAATTTAGCACACCATAATTAAGGCTGAAAGTAATTATTTCAAGTACATTTTCCTAAATCTAGCATATTCAACGGCGATCAAGAACTATTTCTTTTAGCGCATACGCAAATGAGCTGACGGAAAAGAACGTGCAGTGACAGCGAGCACAAGTTGCGAGCTAGTGCGACTTACGTAGTGCTAAGTTAGCGCTACGTAAATCCAGTCAATAGGAAATGACGCCATCTACCAGGCCTCTGACACCCCCTGAAAAAATATGTAAATGACATGTTTTTGATTGAAATCGGCAATTTTCACAGAAAAGCAACAAGTTTGCAGGTATGAATTTGAAATTATTTGCCAGTGTGGTGCTATATTTGTGACACTCGTAGCCTAGCCTAGCGTCTCTTCTATTGGGTTATGAACTGCATGTCAGAATCTAATCTATAACTTCTGCAAAATAAATTATTCTGTACCTTAAATATTTGTAATTTTTATGATTGACTCATTGTCCACAGTGACGCATGTTTAATCTAGAGCCCAACAAATCTACATGTGAATATTGCATTTTTGTGTTCACAGATGGTATTTTTCTAACTCAACTACTATTTTTTCCAGTGCACTGGTTTATTTGATATAATTTCTAACTTTCTTTCTACTCTTAGTATTACTGGGTGCTCGGATAACTCAAATATTCTATCTGCTTTAGGTCCCAGCTACACAACGCCTGGTATTGTTAAAGCTCGTTTTCTGCTGAATTTATAACTCGTTCACATGCTAACTGCGTTTTTGGATAAACAGATTTTTTTTTCAAAACATCTGAGATTTGGAACTTTTTCGAAATTACACCGTGCCTGCACAGTTTAACTTTAAACTCGAACAACAACGGTGCCCTTTTTCTCAAGATTTCTTGGAAAGAGTTGTAAAAAAAGTCAACTCAACTTTAAAGTTTGTGTGCTGAAAACACTAACGGGTGAAACAGTAAAAGTTATCAAAGACTAAATCAAGTTTAGTGGGAGTCTTTAGTTTAGCTGTTTTTGATCATTCATGTGAATGTTCTCAACACATAGTGGAACAGGATGGGCATTTTACTTTTTTTAACTTTTTAATCACAAAAAACTATAGTGTAGACGAAGCCTTGATTTTTTTTTTTTTAAGGCAGACTTTTTTTAAAAATGTATTTCTTAAAGGTTTATTTCTAGAAAACATTTCTAAAAATTACCTCATCTCTAAATTCAGTCATTTAAATTTACCTAACTGCTTTAAATAATGGCAACACGTTAAACCTTCCTGGTTATTCTCTTTAAATGACAAATATAAAAAACACTAACTCCCTTATTTATCACGTTTACAGCATCCTCCTATAAGTTTCTGTAAGCACACCAAAAACAAAAATAAAGTCCATAAATCTCAACGTGTGTAAACAATCAAAATTTCACTATTTTGAGGCAGTTTTCCACTGTGAGGCGAAGATGTGCATGCAGGGACACAAACGGGGTCAATATGCACGAATGTTTAGTTTTATCAAAGCAGGAACAGCGAAGCCAAAACAGCTTCACACACGTCCTTTTGGTAAAATAAGACTTACAAAAAATAGATATATAATCTGTAATAATAGCTTTTAACCACAGACAAGGCAAAAATCAAATACTTATTAACCCTTATTCTTATATTACATATACAATCATGTAGGATGACAAAGTGTAATACATTAAGAAGCTGCTAAATTTGCCCTTGATGCTTCCTCTTTGTGCAAACACCTTCATCAGCCTCTGCTGAAACAATCTGAATCACCGAGTCATTTCATCAGGTGGCCAACATGAAAATGCTTCAGGATTCACAGCGGGGCGACACCCGACTCCCACAGGAAGTCACGTCTTCAAACTGAGCGGGCCGGATCGTTTCAGGCTCCATCCTCGATGAAATGACTCGTGGGAAAAGTTTTTGCAGCGAAACCGCAAAGCTTCGATCCGAACAAGTCCACCACTTTAGAACAACAAGAGAACCATAAAGAAATCCTATCGAACATGGTCATAATTCACAGGTTAATACAAGTCCACACAAGTACATTCCTCTGTGTATTTTTTTTGCAACATTTAAGATTTTCTCCGGTTCAGTACACGATAACACCGAAACCTCAGTTTGTTCATTTCTGATGGGTTGTTGCCGTTGGGAGTTCTCATGGCAGTAGCAACATGGAATAAATCAGCAGTTCAAAGGCTATTCAGAATCTTAAGAAAAGAAGAAATTCAGAGATCGTAACAACATACAATAGTAAAATAGATCTGATACACGTGACATGCGAGAAAAGCACCACGTATATTCATTGTCACACGCTGCCGTTCCACACATCCCTGGGTTTTACCGTGATTCCCTGCGGGCCATGCCCTCAGAACAAAAAGCAGAGCGCCAGCCATAAAGCAAAGAAACACAAAGCCGGGCCCTGTTGTAAAAATAAATTAGAAATCTTATCGTGTAAGAACCAAACTTCTCCTGACGGTCTGCAGAAAGAGGCTGACGGGAGTAAAACAGAGAAAAAGCTTAAAAGTTGGGAAGAAGGAGCAACTTCTGTTTCTGAGACCTCTGAAGCCACGGAGCTGCGGGACTGGAGGACGATGAGAGGGGTTCAGCCCCACCCTGGTTGGGTCGGGGTAAAAAACACGGACCCTCCATCACCCATCAGTTGCCTGAAGAATCAGCCTCAGCAGCTCCACCTTTCATATCCCACGCTCCTGCAGGAGACGCACACAAAAATATATTTTTTGTCTTTTCATCTGGAATATATGCATGTACAGAAGTATCCCCCCCCCCCCCAAAAAAAAAAAAAAAAAAACACACCTGCTGTTGGAAATCCATTTGGTTTTAATAAACATTCACTATTTAGTAAACCGGGATCACCCGACTCCTCACCAGCAGCGGATCTGATGCCCAGTTAAAGCTCCCCTCACTGAGTGACAGCAACATTTTACAAACATTTCAGTAAAGCTCCGGCACCAGAGAGAGCAGGCCCAGTGTTCTGGTGCCGTTTCAAACTAAATGTAAGAATTGATTTGAGCTGCAAATGTTTTATTATTATGAATATTAATTTTATGATGTTATACAGTAGACCCTCACTACTTCAGTGTTTCCCCTACCTTTATTTATACAGGTTAATCCCATTGAGCCTCGAGGACGCCTCGCCCCGTTAACAGAACTGAATGACACGCCTACTGAACCGACCCCACCCTCCCCCCGACACTGATGTAGCGCTAAGCTAGCGATGCGCAATACAGACATGCTAGCTAAAAAGTTAAAGGCATCGCTCACACTGCAGTGTCTCTAAAACTGTATAAAGAGCGTGCTGCGCAGCCAAGGACGTGTCTCCGTCCTTATTCATCGTGTCTTCTGCGTTCAGTGGATGCAGACAGCCGATCAGAACCGGACCAGAACAACTTCCAGCCTCATTTATCAATCTGAGTGCTGCTTGCCGGCCCATGAGGCCTCTCGAGCGGGGAGGCCTTGCTTGGTCCGGTGTCTTTGCCGGAGCTCACCCGGACTTTTTTCATCGAGTTCTTCTGGATTATTTGGACTTGATCTGGATCATTGTGTGGTTTTGTGCTGGCTCTGGAGGCTCGGCTCTCTCCAACAGTGTCTGGTGCTCAACGGTTACAGAGAGCTGATCAGAACCGGACCAAGGCTGGCGAGTCCCCATATAAACATACTGTACAGTACATATACGCATGTTGTTAAAATGATCAAATGAAGTAGGTTTGAGTTTAGATCATTGCAAGAGTGTGGGAAGGGTTTATAAAGCCTTAAATATATATAAGTACTAAAATAAATATAGTGTTCTTACTTGGCAGTTTTTCCACTTATCACAGGGGTGTCCGGAATGTAACGCCCGTGTTCATCGAGGGACTACTCAGCAATCTATAGCAATGGCCTGACCAAGCAAAGATTTTGCACACCTTTCACCTTGATTTGGTGACCTTGACCTTGGAGCTGAGGTCATACTAATGATGTATGTGTGTATGAAGTTTCAATAAATGACCATGAGCGGATCAGAAGTCATGGGCGGGGCAAGAGAAAGTTTATGGATGCATGGAGACGAGACCATAATATGCCTCGCTGTTGACGAGCGTATACAAACGTTGATGTTTTAGTTTTAGCAGCAAGTTATTCTAAATTGGAACAGAAAGTTTAATTTCTGAAAACCAGACTCATCCCTGAAAACGACAGATGGTTGTACCTGACAGAGAGCTGTTGGACTTCTGTTTGTGGAGCTTCTCTTTCTCCTTCCTAGTTTTGGGAATAATCTTCAGCTTCATGCTGCTGCTGCTTTTACTGCTGCTCCTCACCGAGTCCTGCAACCCACACACAGACAGCTGGACTGAGGGACGTTGTGACGGTGGAACAGTGGTCGTACTCGTCAGCGCCTCTGTGGGCTGCTTGTTAACGCCGTGTTGACGCCTCACCTCTTCAGAACACTGCATGAGCGGACAGATCCAGTGGATGTCGTCCAGCTTGTTGAGCTCGGCGCTCAGGCTGTTCAGGGTCAGGCGCAGCTCCTCTTCCTCCGGAGAGTCCGACTAAAGAGGACGAGGTGAGAAATAAAAAGATCAACGTGGACTCAGCAACATCTGTTCAGTTTTCACTCAACATCTGGTGTCGGGTGATGAAACAGCCGTGTGCATCACTATCAAACCGAATGTAATCGTGTTCGTTTAGTCCGCTTGCTGCACCACTGCATGTTCATCACAGCTTCATCTGAATCCACCAAGAACTCAAGAACGGACAAACAAATAAATGTAATTCATCGTTCAGTTTCTAATAAAAACTAAAGTGAAATCAGTGAAAGTTCTGTAGGTCCATTATCAGTTTGCTCCTCCCTCTTGTTCAAATGAAGAGAGCCATCTTGGATTTTAACATGATGACCCAATTCTTGACAGTGATCTTTCTTACACCTAGATGAAGCTATACACCAAAATGGAAGTTGGTCTCACTTATTTTTCCAAGTTATTAAGTTCACAACACAGATGGACAGAGGGTATTTTCAGTTCCTCTCTTGGCTCGTTGACGAGGGACAACAAAGACATGAGCTGGCAGAAACTGAAACGTCTTCAGCTGCATGAGAGAACATCAGAGTGATGAAGCTGATGACTCGTACCAGTATCTAACAAGGTTAAGTCAGGTGTTCTGGACGGATTCTTCTTGTTGAAACATTTAGTCTTTTATCCAAAAGACTTCTTCAGTCTGAGGAGCTGCAATAAACTCAGTCTTATAAATAGCACCTTCACATAGTGGATCAACCAGTTTGCTGGTGGCATCCAGAACTAGCTGTTCACATGTAAAATGAGGACCACCTGCCTAACGATCAATCGTTAGTGCCCTGATGGCTGTTTGCTATTCACAGAGAGCTGAGTGATATAACACACAGACCAGTGGTCATTCCGTATGTTGAGGGAGTATCAGAGAAACTGAGACGTTTATTTTCTAAACATAACGTCCCAGTGGCTTTTAAACCCCAAAATACATTACGGCAAAGACTGGTTCATCCTAAAGATCCAGTCCCCCGGCACAAACAGAGTAATGTTGTGTATGCTGTTCAGTGTCAGGAGGGTGATCAGTCTTACATCGGGGAAACTAAACAGCCACTGGCCAAAAGGATGGACCAGCACAGAAGATCAACATCATCAGGCCAGGACTCTGTGGTCTACACTCATCTCCAGGCCAGCGGTCACTCTTTCAGGGATGAAGATGTTCACATCCTGGACAGAGACGAACGATGGTTTGAGAGAGGAGTAAAGGAGACCATCTTTGTGAAAAGAAATCGTCCATCATTAAACAGGGGTGGAGGCCTCCGGGTTCAACTGTCCCCCTCTTACAATGCTGTGATTGCTAGTATCACTCAGCCCTCTGTGAATAGTAAACAGCCATCAGTGTGCTAATGATCAGTTATTAGGTTGATGATCCTCCTTGATCATGTGAGCAGATAGTTCTGTCTGTCAGCAGCAAACTGGTTGATCCACTATGAGAAGGTGCTATTTATAAGACTGAGTTTGTTGCAGCCCCTCAAACTGAAGAAGTCTTTTGGATAAAAGAAGAAACTTTTCAACAAAGAAGAATCTGTCCAGAGGAGCTGACACCTGGTTAGATTTTTCTACCTGGATTACTGAGCATACTTTGTACATCAGGATACTCGTACCAGTAGTTTTCCGTCCAGCAGCATCTGGGTCTCAGCCTGCAGGACTTTACTGCTGTTGACGATCTCCACAGCCGTGCTGCGACTCAGACACTGAAACACAAAACAAGGTTTTCATTGAATCGAGTCTGCTGCGTCGCTCCGAGCAGCTTTTCTAATGTCCCGGTAACATTTTGAAAGTTGCCTTTCAAGTCAACAGGCTGCACCAATAACAGCATGCAGGTTGACAAAAGGTCTAAATATAAACCATCTGTCCTCTACTGAACCAGTCTGTTCATGGGTGTCGCACCTCCATGCTGGACACTTTGGCCTCCGTCAGCACCAGGGCGGTGGCGTTGACGGCGTGAGCCAGCTCCTGCTCCACCAACTTGTGGGTCTTTGCTGCCTCACGGATTCTGAGGAGGAAATAACCAAGAATGAATAATAACCAGTGTTGTAGAAAAAAATAATTATCTCCACCGTTGAGACTAATGCACAAAATAAATGTAATAACACTTGTAAAGTTTCCTCTTGCTGTAATAGAAACACCCTAGTTTTATTGTAACATTTACATGATGTCAAAAATCTTTTAAATGACGTTTTTCACCATTTTACACTAGAAGCAGTAGTGGCTTGACTTGTACCAATGAACTGTTATTGTTATTGCTGTGGTTGTTGTGGAGCTGATGTGTCTTTCCTATGTGTCTCAGGAGGACGCTCAAGACATATCTTTGGATTCATGATAGCAGGCTTTCTGCTCCCTGGCATTGGTGGATTCCTGCGTTATCGGCTATTAAGGTTTCTGTGGAGTGGATATGAACAGTCATTATCTTACTTGTTGCAGATAACGTTTTGAACAGTTTCAGATTGGAAAACTAGGGTTTATTCTTGCTGGGTGGATAGCTAGTCTTATGGGACCAAAACCCATTGTCATTGTACAGGGGGTACAAAGAAGCTTAGCTCAGCAGCAGTGTCTGAGCAGCAACATAGTGCAATGTTTATATGCATAAAATAAATTTAAAATACACCCAGTCTTTTTTAGCTGCAACAGTTGTGCAAAATGTTCATATAAGCATCCATCCATCATTTTTACCCACTTCTTCCCTTTCAGGTTGTGGGGGTCACTGGTGCCCATATCCAGCAGTCACTGTGTGAGAGGCGGGGTACACCCTGGACAGGTCACCAGTCCATCACAGGGACACACAGAGACAAACGAGACAAACAACCATTCACTCTCACACCTAGGGACAATTTAGAGTTACCAATCAGCCTAACATGCATGTTTTTGGTCTGTGGGAGGAAACCGGAGTACCCGGAGAAATCCCACACATGCACGGAGAGAACATGATAACTCCACCAAGAAAGGCCCCTGGACCGGGATTTGATCCGGTGACCTTTTCACTGAGAGGCAACAGCTCTACAACTGTGCCACCGTGCCGCCTCATACAAGCATATGTGTAACAAAACAAAACAAAAAAACATTATACATATGTCTTCACCCATGTATTCATAGTCATGTCATAATACCTGAATATTAATTCAGATTAAACGATAAATGTTTGTGTTTAGATTGTTCATCTCTTTTGGTAAAGTCATCACTGCCATGGTGAAGAAGCTTTAGCCTGTTAGTTTGAGCACGCATGTTAGTTCGGTAACATCCAATTATTTTGGTAAAAATTTTTGATTGTTGTTTGAAGTGTCCCAAATCGCTCCAGAGGTGTTCCAGCTAGCTGTTGCTATTGCTAATGGCTGCCCCCCCCCCC